GAATAAAAACTTAAAAATAAAGCTGCGACAAAATCAAAGAAAGCTTTAGTTAAAATGACAAATATTCATGTAAATCTATGAAAGTATTTGTTAAATTTTATTTTTGATTCATTTTTCTAAATACCTCAAGTACATTTCGTTAAACTGCGATTTTGTATGTACACGTTGAGTACATTTGTTACTTCTTAACGCTAAAACTGCTGGACCGATTTAAATGAAATTTAGTATAATGATAGGCTATGAGCGGAGCAAGGGTTGCAAAGGGTTGCAAGGGAGCAAGGGCATGAAGTTGATCAATAAAATATACATATTATATTGTGTAATATTAAACACATGTTTAACAAATAACAAAATCTAATTTGACAAAATATATATTAATTATAAACGTAAAATCTTCTTTGTAGTAGCAATAAAATACTTCGTCTAGACTTGTAATGAACTTACTCGTATTTCCAGTTCGACTAATATCTCATTTCGTCTTAAATGGTTTACGATATTTAAACATACAACATCCACAAATGTGACGTGAGGGACACTATCTCTATATATCTTCAATACATAAGCTGTAAGTTTACAGCTATATATGTATATTCTCCAAAGACGACAACGTCTACTTATTGATACTATAAAGCGATCACGCATCCACTTGTGTGGTATAGATGTGGCTTAGGGTATAAATCCTTCAGAAATTTCCTTTGACTTCATTCAGCTTGCTTTATTGTTTTTTTTAGGATTTCGTACCTCAAAAGAAAAAAAAACCCCTATTAGAATCAATTTGTTGTCCGTCCGTCTGTGTGTCTGTCCGTCACGAATGTGTCAAGGTATCAAATTGAAACGAAAATCTGGTCTGCAATCCCTTGACGCTGTGAAAAAAAATCAAAATTCTAAATCAGCCCAATCAAAAGATAAAGGAACCAAAACCGGTACTTTAATTTAGAATTATGAAATTTAGCAAGAAGCAAGTTATAAATTAAAAAAAAATACTATAGGAATTTTAAATTTGAAAACAAAATATTGATAACAATAAGTGAGAAAGTATTTCAACAAAGAAACGCAAAAAATAAGAAAATTACTAAGTAAATAAAAAGTTAACATCTTGTTGCTTGTTAACTGTTTGAAAGTTTTTGCTTTATAACTTGTTATAATTGTACTTTTTTATTTTATCTTTTCGATATTTTGTTTTAATGAATATGAAACCTTTATTTTTAATTATTGTTTAGCAAAATTTATATAAAATCTTTCTTATTCAAATACCAAATATTTTATTTATTATTAAATTATTACTACAATTTTTACTAAACGTCATATCTTTATTAGTTCGGAAAGAAAATGCCTCAGTCCTGAAAACTTGACAATTAAAATCGCTAAACAATTGCAGACAACAATTGCAAAATAAAAAATGCACCCAAAATGGTGTACTTCTTTCTTTTTGAAATCAGTCAAAAATGTATTTACAAGCGATTATTGATTTTTCTATGAATGCATTACTATGATTAATACTTTCAATCTTTTCCATTTGTGATTTTGACGTTGGCAACGGAGGTACGAGAAAAAATAGCAATTTTTTACTATTTATTATCCAGTGAAAGAATGACGTTTCTTTTAGTATTACATTGTCTGTGACATTTATATGTAACATATAGCTTATTATATTTATAATCTGTTGCAAATACTTGATGATTCTTTCTCTTTATAAAATCCTCTGATTTAAAAACCACGTCGTCTGTAATAAAAACTTAAAATAAAATAAAACTGATTATCATACAAGGCCCTTTGTTTAAAACTTCCACCCAAGAGTTTCAATATTGATTTTGAAGGATAAAGCGAAGTTATTTTTCAAACTTAAAATAAAACTTATTCTTGGTTGACTAATTTTGTTTATATGAAAGGTTTACATATCAACAAAATACAGCGGAGGATATTAGTTATGAATGTAGGCTGTGTGTAAGAGGATGTGTGTGTGATAGGTATGTGTGCTGGGATGACGGCTGATTGAGGAAAATGGAAGACAGAAACATGTTGTTCCGACACCACATAGCGCGGGAGAAGTATAAGGAAAAGTGAGAAAAACAAAATCGAGTTATTACTACAAAAATATATATTAAAGTTGAGCCCATATGTATATTTGTACATCATGATATGATTATATATAATTCGATTCCTGAGTTGATCAAAAAAGTTAAAAAAAATGTCTTCGACTATTATCGGACTACTATCTATTTATAAAATGCGAAAGTTTGTCTATTTATCGTGTATTTGTGAGACATACAAACATACAAAACATTCGCATTTATAATACTCGTATAATATATCTACTACATTATAACTTACAAAATCACTAGGTTCCCATATAACTGTTACTAAAGTCAGGCTGCAGACATAAACCGCATCGTCTCCGGATATTAACAACTGAATTGGCCTGAATTAGAAATTCAATACAGAATAGAATTTCTACGAGACAAAATTATATACTAATAAATCAGTCATAATAGATATATGTCGTTATATCTATCCATTCTATTTATTCTATCTTAAGTAGGTCTCAAATATAAAAAAAATATATAAAAAATACTTATCCTTAAAAATATATAAAACTTTATAACTATGACATATGAACGTTTCCTATATATTACTTACTGTTGCTTGACTATATGCGCGTTACGAAGATAAAAAGGCTGTGGTTTTGATCCTTAATTGTTGAATGAATCTAAGAGGCTATAAGAGGAACTACATATCCGGGGATTTCACGACCACGAGAAAGGTCCGCAAAGACAAAATAATCTTTAGGTGTTCTAAGTTTGTTCATTTTAATGGACCCGTAAATTTAGCAATTTAAAAAAAATATCAAAACCATTTTAATTGATTATAGTAAATAAAAAAAGCTAGTAATAAAATAGCACCCATACATACACAAACATACACAATATATTTTTTTAATTATGATCAATGTCCACCTAATATTATCCACCTTTAGGGACGCATCGGTCGGTTAGAGATCAAATTTTTCTTTTTAAACTAAATAAATAATTTCATTGATAGCCTTTTCTTATTAAACTGGTTGAATTTTAAGGTTCCAAAATTTTGTAGAACGAAATATTACGCTCGTAATATCTTTATACTTCTTATATAATAAAAAAATTAACTGCCTTGGTGGTGTAGTGGCTAGCATGTACGGCTGCACACTCGGAGGTCCTGGGTTCAAGTCCCGGGTCGGGCCAAGTTTAGTTATTGAGTCTTTCTGTAAAGTAAGCCTCAGTAACAGCTCGGAGTTGGGAAGTTGGCGATTTTCACCCCCGCGCCTCGGAGAGCACGTAAAGCCATCGGTCCTGCGCCTTAACTCACTGGTCGTGTCGAATGGTCGCCCCACCGGAGTATGAGAGTGACAGGAATAGAGAGTGCACGTTGTGCGCATCTCCTGCGCAGCTGGCTAGTCTCAATGAGATTGGCCGCCGTAGCCGGAAATCGGAATCGACTAGGAGAACATCATCATAATAAAAAATTTAGAAGTATAGATATATTTTCTAATTCACTTACAGGTTTTAAAAATAGTATTAAAATCACTTACTATTTAATTGATAATTTTGTGTTTGACGTATTTAACGTTTTTCCTTATTTTTTATTAATTAATATTAGTGTTTCTTTTTGAAATTTTTTAGTTAAATGTTTAACTTTTTTGTCTATTTTCATAGTCTTCTGCTTCTTATTTGTATTGGAAACTTGATTGATTTATGTTATCCTATCATTATTTATTATTTATGTAATACATATTGTACTGTTTGTTTGCCTAAAATAAATAAATTACTTAATCGATTATAGTACTAACTTTGTATATAAAATACTTTAAAAAAACCTAATCATTTCAGGTGCACTTTTTGTGCTGTGAATTAATGTTAACTTCTGGTGTAAAGGCTTTAGTATTAAATTGTTAAATATAGAATTCAAAGCGTAATATTCTCTAAAATATATCAATATAGTATAGAAACTGAAATAACAAAAATTCTATAAACAATTTTAAATAAAACTGCATTCATAATTCTCACTCTTTTATTTATATAATTTAAAACATTAAATCTTTTCCACAATTTATCTTGAAACACAGTTACACCTCTAAGATCACAATAAAGTTACGAAGACACCGTAATATTTACAATAAATAGAAATAATTATTTACAAAATAATCTTAACACTTATAATAAATACTTAAAATGAATAGACAGTTTAACTACTTCTTTACTTTCACAAATTTTATTAAATTTTTATATTTGTTGATTTATTCTAAAATAACAAAATTAACACTGTAGTTAAAGTCACACTCTGTTGTTTTTTCTTAGGCGAACTCTTTAGTACAAAATCGTTAAAAATTTCTTTCTCTAGTACAATTAATATTAAAATGAATATAAACTATTAAAAATATAAAAAAGAAGTAGCCAAAATGTAAAACTAATGAAACATTCTATTTGTCATAATAAAATTGTCAATTCTGAGACTTTCTCTTCAAAAAATATGTACATCTTATAAGAAAATAACTCAAACTATCACATTTAATAGGTTAGTATAAGGAATGAAAAGAACTGCTTACATTTATAAAAACTAATAAATGTGCTGGGAGATATCAAGTCAGATTTGTGAAATGAAAAATATTATATAATTGCTATTTATTCAAAAATATTACTATACAACGTTAACTCTTGATAGTTTATAATCGATAGTCATGATAGTTAAGTGAGTTATTTAAAATAATAGCTTCAATTGGTACTTCTATTTTGTGTATTCCAGACTTTTTAAGCTCTCCTGCTAGGTTCGGCCGCCCTTCAATGCAATGGGGATCAAGTCATAGTCCGCCATGCTGATATTAAGTGCCGATTTGCGTCTTTTGAAAATTTACTATGTTCTCTCATACATGCAAGTTATCTAAATTAATAGCTGACTGATAGTTTTAGGAGTTAGGATAGGTTACATTTATTAAGTACACAATTTCTCTACGTTATAATAATTTTTCATACAATGGAATCATTTGGTTTTTCAGCTTTTGACAATAATGGTACGCTACTATAGTCTTTGAGGCATTCATTGACTTTCTTAGAGCCGTTATCAAAGGAACTTGCTGTTGGTAGCTTGGGTATCCAATTGTTATTACCTATCTTATTAGATTTATGGTTTCCCATAGAGTTCATCTGGAACTCCTTCAGTTTAACTTTGGGCTGACCAGTTTGACTCACATTGTTATGATTAAGGGAGTTAACAGTTAATGACATAGAATTTGAAATGCTTAGCTTATCTAGTTCTTCAGCATCAACTACTCCGTTAGTGACGCGTTCGTTTGGATCAGAATGTTGCCTTTGCATTTTTACTGCTTGCAATATAGGTTGAACTTCTCTTTCCAATTTGCTAACATCAGTCTGCTTTTGGAGAAATACTCCCGACCCTCGTCTGCTTGATGATCTCGAACTTTGATCTAAACGTTGTCTAAATGGCGTTAGATGTGATAAAGATCCACTATCAGTAGACTGCGCTTGTAGTTTTAATAAAGGTGGTTTTTCCTTAGGTGCATTTGGATCAACGATTTCACCCAACAGCCAATATGTGACTTGAACTCCTTTACCCTTTAATAGAAATATATGTTTAACAACTTACATCATGCGTTACTTCTTGTATAAAATGCAGAAAAATAAATTAAAACATAAATTATCTTTATAATATCGTAATTTTTTATATATTATCTCTTAAATATAAAATATTTTAACGAACCTAAAATCCATTTACAAACAAATACATTTGATTATTTTAATTCAACTAATCAAAATATTAACATAAACTTAGTTAACTAAAAGCCTAAAAATAATCAAAACGAACGAAACATACCTTCATAGCAACTTCACCTCTACACTCTAAACGGAATGTTCCAAAAGTATCAAGCAGGCTCTTCGTTGTTTGCGACACGTGTATTTTTAACGCTTCGCCATTGGATTCCATTCTTGATGCTGTGTTCACTGTATCTCCGAATAGGCAATACCGTGGCATTTTCAACCCTACGACACCAGCAACACACGGCCCTATAAAAATACAATGCTTTAGTATAATTTGAAATAAAAGATTCAAAATATTATTTTTTAAGGGTCTAGTTTGTTCGTTTTGTTCTCATTTAATAGATTTTTAAAAGAATAATTTATTAATAAATAAACTAATTTACATCCGCGACCCTACTCTAGTCACGTCGATATAAAGTCTAAGTCAATGCAGGATATAAGCCATTAAGATTTCGGAATTCACGTCAATCCATTGAGACAGTAGACATTGGGTGAAAAAGTAACAAACATATACACACTAACTGATTTTTACATACGTACTATATAAATATTATGTATATATTTGTTAATTTCTGTAACAAAACCTAAATTATATCTTATAATATTAAATGAGCGATTCCTGTATATATGTAAAAAAAATATTTCGTGTATTTTAAAAACGGCCCTAACGTTTTGATTCAAATTATATATTTAGATAAGGTTTTAATTTTTAAATGTATGTATATAGGTGTATTTTCTAATAAAAATACATTTTTTATATCTTTCCCGAAAAACGCCAAATTAAGCTCAGTCGCCCAGATAGTTACTACTTAACTCTTTAAAACCAGTATTTAATGGGATGTAAATGTGAACCTTCTGAACCTAATATGATTTTCCTCATCGATCCGCAAAATTTTACAAGGCAATTGCAATTTAGATGAAATTTCCTTCCCACAAAGGCTTTCTATCTGGTGCAATATCATTTTGCCTTCTAATGTTTTATTTATGAAGTTCGTCATTTTACTCGAGGTACTTTTTCATTCTTTCTAGTTTTTTACACTTTGCCTTTGTTCAATTTAGGCTTTTATAATTAGACAAATCTGATACTGAAATTTGCAATATATATAATATAATAGTGTTGCTTAGTAAGTTGTTTTTAAATAATAGCAAACTAAATTAAAATGATTATCCATAATTAATTTTAACTTTTTAAATTACACATAGAACAATTATATGGCTTTAATAATTAATACTATATTTTTATATTTTTATTTATGGTTATAAATATAATAATGGCAACACTAAATATAGATTACTAATTAATATTTTTAAAATTGTAATAATTATAAAAATAATAGCAAAAATTAAATAAATAATTTTCCATATTCAATTATAATTAAAATTATAAAAATGTTTAAAGTTAAAAATATTGTAATGTAATTGGTGCAATTTTCATTTTTGTTAATTGTGGGTAGGCTGTCTGTAACAACTATATCTTTAAGACATGTAACACCTCAGTCTCTCCCGTGACCATGGATGCTGTAAAGCATTCGAAACGTCGGGAACCAAAAATCAAAATAAATCCGCGAAATAATCCGAAAAGATAGTTTTATTTAATAATGTCAAACATTCGCGTAAATCTAAGAAAGTATTATTATTTTTTTCTTTAATTGCTTAGAGTTGCGTTAACAGACGCAATACATTCTGCCAGTGTCACGTATTGTGAGGAAGACTCGAATCAGTTTGAGCGGTTCGTATTATATTATGAAGACGCAAATTCGATTTCTTTGTGACAACTGTCTTGACGTAAAGATGATCTACACTTTAAACTACGCAATATCAGTACCAGTGCCATGTTTTAAAATCATTAATAGGAGAATTGAATCGAATTATAATTACATTTCTTATATATTTATAAAAGAGAATAATATAGCGTCTTAATGAAAAAATAATATATTTGATTCATTTGTAATGATTGTGTATAAAGCATCCATTCATGTGTTTTGTTCCTCCTTTTTGGAAGTGGGTTATAAAGAATTAAGTTGAGGATGGATGCAAAAGTACTGAATATAAGGATACATGCGAGGAATATCTTGAAGTTTTATTAGTTTCATCTTACACTTGTAAAATTTCCATCACTTAATAATGCAATTCAATAAGATTTGTTTTTATAGTACCTATACATAACAATTTCAACTTTACAAATAAAATTTGAAGCAATTCTAATTGAGTATGAGACACCTTTATTAGGTTATAAACAAGTTTATCTTCTTTGTTATTTCGATTCCAGTCTAACGTCGTTCCCGCATTGTAATTTAAGATAGGAAAATATAAAGTTTATGAATAATTATATAATTTATTCGAATTCGAATTCTGTAACAAGTTATTACAAATATACTGTTGTATACATATTTTCTTAGAGCTATTTTATCACAATTTCCTTTAAAATCTGTGTCTCAACAATGTTCAAAATGGTTTAAAGTTAGTGATAAGTTGGGACGAATAATGTCTCGGTTTATTTCATAAGAAATGATTTTTTTTTATTATAAATACTTTATTGCACACATAAGGATAATACAGAAAATGAAAAGAAAAAGATAGATAACAAAAGGCATGTAAAGGAGGTCTTATTGCTATGAGAAATCTCTTACAGACAACCTTTGGTGATAAGATTAGTGGAACAACCATAATAGCCATAGTAATACCATGATGTGTAGCTTTATCGTATTTTGAACATTTCTATTTTTATATTTGTTCTAGATTTGCCAATTAAATTTGACCTTTTTCATAGAAACTAAGTCATTCCTTTTTACAGCGGTTACATTTAAATGGTTCATTTCTCAATAGGCACCATGTTTTTATAAGAAACTGGCATAATTTCAACTCTTCAGATCAAATTTTAGGGCGTTGATGAATTAATCAAGGCAAGTAACTAAAGTTTATATAAATATAAACAGATAGCGTTTCGTTACACTTAATTTTAAAATGGTTTATCAATCGCTTCACACCCATATATTTCTTTCAGTTTTATTTCATAGCAAATTGGTATTTATTGGGGTTCCTAAATACAAAATATACAAGCATTTTTACTATAATTTTTTGCTTAAAATATAAGCATTACAAAAAACCTACCAAGCTTTTAACTAGGTTTTAACTAGCATTTTATTTGTATCCTATACTCTCGGTTGCCTGTAAATAAGGCGGCTTTTGCACATATCTTTTCTTGTATTTTATTTTTCTTTTAAAATCCGTACTCAAATTGTAAATATGAAAGTTTGTGAAGATGGATGGATGGATGTGTGTATGTCACTCTTGCACGCCATAACAGCGGAACAGATGAAATTTGGGACAGAGATAGATTAATTATAGTCTGGAATAACACATAGATTACTCTTTATCCCGGAAAAAATATAGTTACCGTGGGATAGATTTGTCTTTGTCTAGGAGCGAACAAGAAGCGAAGCGAATGTGAGTCGCTAGTGTATAATAGGTAATAACAACTTTTCTACTTCTTAGACAAAGATTTTTCAAGGCTAAGCGAATAAATATATACAAACATACATAAAGCCACAAAATAATTACAGCACTAAATAAACTTACCAGAATGCAATCCAATTCTCAATTTCAGTTGATCGCGCGGTCGGTGTCTAATCTTGAAGCGTCGTACGGCGTCAAGTAGCGCTAGCGCCATTCGAGCCACTTCACACGCGTGTCTCGTACCGTTGCGCTCTGGCAAACCAGACACAACCATGTAGGCATCTCCTATTGTTTCCACCTGTCAAAAAGAATACGGTTTTTATTACGCTTCAACCCTTTAAACAACCCTTACAAAAACCTTACAAAAATATCTCGTCTCTAGTTCTATTCCACAGGAATTCTTACTTTTTCTGATATTAAAAATAGCTAAATCTCTACCCCTTTGTGAAAGTTATATTAAAATCGATAAAGACAAGCTCGTATAATATGCTTGCATGTAAACATTATTCTTTCACGGTATAGTATACCCGGTTTTCACAAATTTCAAAATAATAAAATTAAAATATAACAAACAGATACCTTTAATAATTAAACTTTATGTATCCAAACTGCGAAATGAAATTATCTGTTCGTATACTCATACTAACATACACAGGAGATTATTGTTACTTTTAATTAACATTATAGGATTAAATTTCATTTTGAAATTTAGTGATTTTTAATAAAGAGTAGATTACATTTGCAAAGTAATTTGTTAAAACCTTTGTTGTCAAAATATATAAAAAACTAAAAATGCCTTTAGATTCTATTCGTAATATAACATACTTCCGCCTAATACTTTCTTAGATTTACGCGAATATTTGACATTTCAAATAAAACGATATTTTCGGGTTTTTTGAAATCATTTTAAAATTGTGGATTAAACACTGTTTGTAACAAGTATATGAAGCTTTTGAGACGTCTAAAACCTAAGTCTCTTCCGTGACCATGATTGCTGTAAAGCATTCGAAACGTCGGGAACCAAAAATCAAAATAAATCCGCGAAATAATCCGAAAAGACTCCACCTACACATAACTTCTTAACATATACACATTACATATATCAAAAAATTCCAAAAATCCACAACAAGATATCGTAAACAGAGAAAAACAATATGATAACTAATATTACCCATATATAACAGATATAGCTCACCTTATAAACATCATAGTTTTCTACAATAGAATCGAAGCAAGTATACAAGTCATTGAGTAAATCGACAACTTGCATAGGCGTCGATGAAGCCGACAGCGCTGTGAAGCCGACGATGTCGGAAAAGTATATTGTTACTTGTTCGAACGTTTCCGCCACCACCGACTGACCGTTGATCAACTGCGAGGCCACTGATCTGGTGTTTATATAATAAATTATATTGTTAATTTATCACTATATGTATTCAGCTCTTTTTAATGTCCCACTGCTCCGGCACGGGCCTCCCTTTAATACGAGAGGGATCACGCCATAGTCCACCACGCTGGCCAAGTGCAGGTTGGCGGACTTCACATATCTTTCAAAAACTTGCTAGGTTCTCTCAGACATGCAGGTTTCCTCACGATGTTTTCCTTCACCGTAACGCAAGTGGTAATCAAGTAAGAAATGATTCGCACATAAAAATATCAGAGGTGCGAGACCCGGGATTCGAACCCGCATCACTCGGTTTCCCAAGCGAGCGCGTTACCACTGCTTAAAAAATGTTATAAGTAAACTGAGTTTATGTTTGTTCGAACTAATCTCAGAAACTACAGAGCAAATTTTTATACGGTTGTGACCAATGGATAGAGGATTATAAGCTGTAATTTATGAATATTTTGTGAAAATAACCTTGAATGCTATGAATGAAATGAATTGATCTTAGTATAATCTAAATTAATCATATACTTATCAAACAGTCTTCGTCACAAAGTCATTTGTCACATTCGTCCTATCTAGATATATTTATTAGTCTAGTTCTTACATACTTACAATGTACACATTATTCAAACAAATAAAATATAAATGTACCTATATAATGACTATGTAACCTAGAACATGGAGTCTAAAAATACTTTTAATCCATGACAAATATGTACGCTACAAAAAATTGGTTTATAACCAATTCAATAAACAACCTCTCCATAATTTAATTCAATAAACGACCTCGTAAGCAGACAATTATCGAGCTATTTTTTATATCCTTTTAAAATTGGATAAATGATAAAGGTTACGGGTTGAAAATTCGTTTAGGATGGTAACCTATATCTGGTATATAGCAGTCGATATGACGATAAAATATGTATATATACTCGTAATGTTGTCGAAAGGGCTTTTAACCCCAATATAAAATTCACCAGTAATCTAAACAATTAAAAAATATATATTTAATGTGCAGACCTAGTTTTATTTGATCTTTTTGTTATTAAAACGCGCATCCAACGATACTTTAAATACTGAATAGCATAAAAACACATTTTCGGGGTGCTAGTTGACAATTTAGGTAATTTCGTAAGCCATCGTGGTAATATATATTCTAATGACATATTAATATTTAATTATCATTAATTACAAAATAAATTAGTAATCATTGAAGATAGCAATGAAAAGAATATCATCTATTATATCACTTTTTAGACAATAACAACGGTTGCCATGACAACCTAACGCAATGCCGTGACGGTTTTCGTGACGATTGCTCGTGACGCAACCTTGGATTTATACTTTTATTCGCGCAAATAATTTTTACTCCAAAAAAACAATTATTAATAAATAAATAAATATGTTGGGACATTAACACAGCACCATCTAGTTCCATGGTAAGCTACGAGGCCTGTGTTATGGATACCAGATAGTTGATGCACTACACATATATAACTTTAAATACATACATATTATAAATATAAACACCCATGACTGAAGTACAAACATTCGTGCTCAACACACAAATGAATACCCCCAGCGGGACTCGAACCCGCTACCGCTGGCACGACAAGTAGGGTCACTACAAACTGAGCCAAACGTGTCGTCCATTTATTTATTACTGTTGCATTGGTACTTACTTAGGTAGCAATTGGTAGAGTAGCTCTTCACATTTTTTCTTTTCCTCTAAATAATCCTGTGTACGTTCGCTCACTAACGTTTCTAAGTTATTTGCATATTGTTCCATACGAGAAAGCAAATTATCTAAAATATTACTACTTTCTTGAGTCCTGAAAAAAAATATCACATTAATACCTAAAATATTCGTGTAAGCACAAATAAAGCTATGTCTTGGTTAATTTTTTGTGATAAAATATAAAAAAATATAATAAATGAAAAATTTACATAAGAAAGTTTTTATTAAACAAGCTTTTATTTAATGACTCCGATATATGTTGTTGAGGAGTTTATGTAGCTAGCTTCCAGCTTTATCGTTAGATTATTTCGAAATTACGATCTCTCTATTATACCCCGTGGAATGTCTATATTCCCTATGGAAACACAAACGACGGCGATTTTGATGAAATTTTCAAGCAATTTTCACATTAGCCCAACGGGTGATCCTGTGAAGTAGTGATCGGAAGTTTGAATGCGGGCGAAGCCGTGGGTAACTGCTAGTAATAATATATTTTATTATCAGATATGAAGCTATATAGTCATAATTAGGGCGCTTAGTAACTTATTTAAAGGTTCTAATATGTCCCGCAAATCCAAGTTTAGTGTTTAAAATACGATCTCATGATTAAATTTAATCGAAGGAATGAAGTTGCTCTCAGTCTATACATACATACAAACCAAAGACCATCCACTCACTGACTAAACACGAAATCTCGAGAACTACTTGACCTATGAAGCTGAAAGGCACATACTTTACAGGTAGAAGACATCAAGTAAGGATGGATTTTGTTACAGGGCCGTATTAAGAGGTTTTAAATGCTGTCATAAGTTTATGTGAGAGCCATATATTTCTATACATATAATAAAATTGTAACTAAGCTGAATCTGTACATTGAATATTTTTTGGGAAATCTTATTAAAATAGATATTATTATCGATACAGAGCCCGAATCTATAGTTTTTAGAATTTTTGTGTCTGTCTGTTACCGCATCAAGGAAAAACCACTGGACGGATTTTGATGAAATTTGGTATGATGATAGCTGGTTATCCGGGTCAACATATAAGATAGTTTTTACTGCAGGAAAATGTTTCGTTTCTGAGAAAAAATACAAAAGTAAGAGTATACTAATCTGTAAAACCTAAGAATTTGGTTTTTGGTCTCTAAACGCGGGCGGAGTCGCGGGCAATGCTAGTCTTAAATAAAAGCTTATTATAAAGCTCCTTTGTAATGATAAAGTATAATTTTCAGCTAAACAAGATCCATCACCATATGTACATAAATATTACTTATTGAGCCTTCGCACAGCTCCCTTCAAATGGGCGAAGTCCGGCCGCTCTGACGGCTCTTCAGCCCAACAACGACGCATAAGATCTGTGGCGTCATCTGCTTCACATGACTTTGTGTGGGTCGTGTTTGGACGAAGACCACCACTTATCACTGCGTCGATTATTTCTGTATTAAACATATTTAAAATATATACATAACTTTTTGATATTTACATAAAATATTACTCGTATATTACATAAATGACAATTTTATATATAAAATTTTAAGAAATATGTATCTCTTATGTTATAAATAATAAAAATAAACACTTAAAAATAGCAACAATCATTCAACAAAATTATAAAGTAATAAAGACATAATAAACCTACTATACAGATTAACTTAACATGTAACATAAACCTAACTAATGTCGACAGCCAGTTTGGAAACTTATATCTATCAAGCTCAACTGACACGCTTTGAAGCATTAAAAAGAAAATATCTATCACAATTATAATCTAACATATAAATATCTCGTGTCACGGTGTTTGTAGTCGCACTTTTCCGAAACGGCTCGACTGATTTTAACGATATTTTTTTTGGTAGTTATGAGAATAGGTCGTCAAGTATTTTTCAACCTAACCTCACACCCCATATGTTAAGTAACTAGGGATGAAACCGTGAGGAGCCAGGGTGAGCTGCTAGTAATTTATATTATCCTAATATTATTATAGTTAGAAAGATAGCTTAAAATTTAAAATATGATAAAGATAGATTTAAAATTTAAAATATGATAAAGATAGATTTAAAATATGACTTACCTTTAGGAGATATATCGACTCCTGGTCCAAGCCAAAAAGCGCCTTGACGGTTAACAATTTCGTGCATTATTATGCCAAAAGAATATACATCTGCCTTTTGAGTGCCCTCTGGTGGCGGCTCAGACATACGTAGTAATTCCGGTGATGTCCAAAGCATCCCTAATAAAAAATTATAACTATTTAAAAAATAAAAAAATATAATTATAAACTATTTTTATTTATATGAATTATAATATTAATTTACTTATAACAGCAATAAATAATCTACTAACATTTGTATTCTATTATAAAACATTATATAGTATTTTAAATAATTATCTTTTGGCTTCACATTTAGTTCTAAGACATTCTTGCCTATATTAATCCTTAGTCTGGGTAATAATATCACTATATGACATTTTCATTCTAATATGTTATTTGTGAATATTGTTTGGTAAATATAAAAACATACCCGTATTAATTATTATTAATATTCATGACGTTAGCCTTATGTATATTTAAATTTTATAATCTGTTCACACTGTTTTATATTAAGATTAGATAATATTTCAGTAAAAAGCTTTGGTTGCTTTGAGCTTTGGTAGCTCTTATATACATAACATCATAAAAAATCTTTTGATTTGAAATCACTAATTTTCTTGCAAAGAAAAACATAGTATTGTATCTACATACATTTTACATATAATATAATTTATTATTGTACATATATATTTTTTGTTATATTTACTACAATAACTTGTACTTACGAGTCCAATAACTATGCGCCCGCGTGTCTTTTTCTGAAGTCCTCAGGGCATTTAAACCGAAATCTGTTATTTTCAATACAAAGCGAGAATCCACTACACAGTTGCTAGATTTTAAAGCCCCATGAGATCTAATATCACTACTGTGAAGATAATGCATTCCCTGTAAATATATATATAACATGAATGTACGTATATATTTTTATAATTTTTGTAAAAAATATGTTTTAAAAGTGAAAAGAAAAATTTGAGAAAAATCCTCTAGAATGCTATATACCTATTTAAATAGTGTATAAAAGCTTATTTGAAAACTTTAATATGTAAGCTTTTATATAACAACATATTTTAATAATATTACATGTTAAAGCTAAATGACGAAATTACGAATGTTTCGAGAATTGTTTTGTAAATTAGCTTCAAATATAACGTTAGAAGAATACTTTAAAATTCTCAAAATCATTATCTATTAAATATATATAAAAATGAAAAAAATGAAAAAAAAACATTTTCCATAAATAATGTTTTATAACATAAATAAAACCATTTCGAAGAGAGTTTTATACAGCCCTATTTTATCCACCCACACAACGCCGTAGGACAGAAATCTGCATGAATATGCGACAATTTATATGCAAGATTATTATATTCATATCATGAAACATAAAAGCTTTAAAGCTTCTAATACTAGAAATACTGTAGAGCTTAGATATTTTTTACTCTCAACACTAATTAATATAGTTGAGGAGGTTCTTTTCAAAACATAATTATTCCACTTTTTGTGTTTTTTCACAATCTGAGAAAATATTTTTGTAGGCAACGAGTATGTTTTAACCCGAAATTTTGATGCATTATTGTAGACGACAACAAATGTCATTGCTTTGTATAGGATACAAAAATGTTGCAATAATGTGTTTTGAATAAATCCAAAATTTGAAATGGAATAATCTAGTTTTGACGCGGCTGATTAGAAAATCATATTTTTATTCAAACCTCTGTGGATTAATCTTGTTTTGCTGAAACTAATTAGGTATCAGAAATCTCATTTTTCATAAAGGATTCCTGGATCTTTTATTTTGTTGCAATTTTGATTAAAATAGTTAAATAACTTCTGGATTATTCATATTTTCTTCCAAAAATGTGTATTTGAAATGGGTAATGTCATTTTGACGTGGAATGATCTATTTTTGAGGAAATCATGCCTTTTAATCCTTTTTTTCTGGTGTAAATTTCAAGTTTTGGGCCAATTTTATTTTCGCGGAGTGTAAATTTGAATGTTACCAAAGAAAAAAAATGAAAATAATTTTCATCAAAAGTGGAATATTCAAGTTTTGAAAAGAAGCTCCTCAGTTGTTTTGCATAAATCGATGAAAATCCATTCTATCGGTTAAAACACAATTTATAATCACTGCTCCCAAAAACAACATAATTTACTTCTTGTTTTCGTTTCGCTGCTAATCAGCTTAAGATATTCTGAGCCATATTTAGTAGTAAAGATTTCGCAAAATTAATTTATTTTCCCAGACGAGGGTAAATTGAAAGCAATTTCAGTTGACAAAAACACGCTCATATGTCACGAAGTTTGAGCTAACAAACTTACCTTGACAATGTCGTGCATTAAGCTAACTTTGAACATCCAATCTAATTTTATCGTATCATTTTCCAATATATCTTGAAGTGATCCTTTAGGACAATATTCTGTAAGGAGACAACAGTGTGGTGGGTCTACACATGCTCCGAAGAACCTGGCCAGATGATCATGTTCTAGATCTTTCATCTTCTTTAATTCTAGAAGTAAAGGTCTTGATAAGTCTATCCTCTGCTTATCGACTTTTTTGATAGCAACTCTGCACCCTTTGTAAAAACCCCAAGGCGTGTACATTTGACGATCTCCAGCGAGTGATGTTGCTTCATCTGAATACGCAGTCTGGAAAGACGTTTACGTTAAATATCTTACAGTTTTGCGTAACTATAAAAGTACTAATAAGTAAAATATACTTTGCTTCTTTTAAGATTGACAAATATCAAAATGATAAAAAAACAATCTATAAATTTTTGTTTGATTTAGATACACATAAGTCATTTTCTAAAAAAAATTGATGATTTTTTAAAGTATAAACTGTATCTATAAACTGAAATAAGTTCCAGCTCCAAGGTATTGCAGACCTGAGTATTTGATATTCATTTCAACTAGATACCTCCTTACGTTCTTGAGAAAAAGGGTCTTGACAGATTGACAGATAGACAGACAACGAAGTGGCCTTATAAGGGTTTCTATTTTTCGTTTTGAGGTACGGAACCCTATTTATATGGCTAAAAATATAAATAGCTTTAGGCTTTTACAGATATAAAAAAAGTTAAGCAGAAATCGAAGTTGTGCAATAAAAATTCAAAAACTAAACAAGTAAATATATTTTACTTCGTAGTAAATACTCACTCCAGTACTATATCTTCTGATCAAAGAATGCAGACTTCCGCGCAGTCTGCTGCTTGACGGCAAAACTTCACTCCAACTGACTCTCCAAGTCATCATTGCTATTTCCGCTTCTAATTTGTAATGCCTAAAAGTTAAAATAATTTAATCTACAAGTATTATAAAAGGTAAATTTTTAAATAATTGTGTTTTATTTCTTATTAATTACTACATATATGAAAGTAAAAACCCTTGGTTTAGAAAATTGCGAAATTTCTTTAAGAATTACATGTGGCTGAATGCATATTTTATTTAAGCTTTGTTTTGTATGTAAACGGCAAAAATTTTTATTGCGCTATCTATATGAGATGTTTCTAATTTTTTTTTTCGCGGAACCATAATTGAACATAATTTTATTATCAGGCATCCATTTTGATAATAACTAAACCGATTGTATTGTATTAGAAAACATTCTTATTAATATTTATTGTATCAAAAATATGACCTATTTAATGCGAATAAAATTTTTTCATATATTTATTTATAATAGCTTAAAGGCTTCATGTTTGACAACGTTTTATTTAACTCTCGGACGAAACTCGGAACCACTGTGATCCTTTCTAGAGATCCGCAGACCATCATTTGGGAACCGCAGCTCTAGATAACTGCAACCGAGACCATGGTCGTAACAACAACTTTTACGCGTAATGTACGGAATTTAAAAAAAATGTTGCTGGAAACCGTAGAGTAGTATAACGTGTAGTGTGACCGAGCTTTATTAAAGTTATATGTATAATATGTGTAGTCTATCAACTATCTAGTATCCATAGTACAAGCCTCCTAATTTACCATGGAACTAGATGTTAGTGTGTTTTAATGTCCCAACATATTATATATATATATATATAAAAAAAAAAACAATCTACTAATTAAACTAAATCTCTTTAAATAATGATACAATTAGCTGGAATTTCGTTCACTAAATTGTAAATGAGCGTGTCGTTACACCAATAACGTGCAATAGATATGCGCCATTTGTTTTAGCCTGGGTTCAGGCGCCGTAACGTAAAGGCAATTTCAATAACATTACCCTAAATGCCATTTAGCCAAAAATATTACCGTGGATACGCATTTTTATTAAAAAAAATCGAATATATATTTCTATACATATAATAAAATTTGAAATGAGTCGAATCTGTACATTAGATATTTTTTAAGAAAATCTTATTGAAATAGTCATTTTTATATACAGAGCCAGAATCTATAGTTTTTGAAATTTTGTCTGTCTGTCTAGAAATGCATCATAATAAAACCATTGGACAGATTTTGATGAAATTTAGTATGATGATAGGTTATCCGAGCCAACATATTGGATACTTTTCACTGTGGTAAAATATCTCACCTCTGAGAAATCTATACTTAACGTTAAAACGTAACTAGAGACGAACCCGAGCGGTACGAGTATGAGTCGCTAGCCTGATATAAATATATAAAAGCGAAATACCAGGTACTGAATAATGATAAAATCTCAGAAACTTGTTAGTTACTATGTTCCTCTTACGAAATAGTAGTATTAGAAAAAGATTTTTGGAAATTCAACCGCAAAAGGAGTTGAAAGAGGTTAGAACTTTGCTTGGAAATGCATTATCTTTAAAATATGTACATTTAAATGCTTCAAAATGACTTAAAAATAATTACTTCACTTCTAAGAGTATTTTTTTTAATTTTACATGAGACAACCGCTCAGGTATTATCCATTCATTAAGGAACCACAGTAACTTTCTCTCTCTCTCTATATATATATATATATATATATATATATATATATATATATATATATATATATATATATATATATATATATATATATATATATATATATACATAACTCTGTAGGTGAGGCTAATAAAAGCGTCTCAAAATATGTTTTTTAATCACAATTACAAGGATGAGCGCGTTTAAACAAACAAAAACAATATGTTTAGTTTTATAACAATATAAAGCTTTATAAAAATATAGTATCGTAAATAAATATATTTACTTTCATATACCATTTGCTTATTTATCCTTAATAATACATTCGGTAATAAGATTTCGCATCACGTCTTCATGCGATATTCTTGTATCGAAAAAGGGCTTGAAATCCAATATTAGAAACTATTTTCCCATCACACAATATCCTAACGACAGTTTTTTTATCCAGCATTTCTCATGCTATGTGCTAAGCTTTAATAAAAAAATCAATCGGAGAGCTTTTTTGTCTTTTATTTTAAAAAAAAAGACAAAAAAACTAATTAGATTCCCTAAAGTATAGTGTATTTAGTATAATCAGGACTTAGTATAAGCATCGCGCTTAAACCGCGCTAAAACCCAACGGAACCTCCCCAGTCTTATTGGGGCATCACACTCTACCACGACGCCTGGTTGACCAGACCAGACCACAAGAACCATGGGCTTGCTCCTACTGTCCACTTTGCTATCAGAGAAGTATCTGAAGCAATATTGGTAAAACATGCCTAGCAAAAGTACGTTACTTTCCAGCTTGCATATTATATTTTTAGCATATAATTCTCTATGCACAACCAAAATAAATAAATATGAATAAATATATTGGGACATTGCCACACAGCACCATCTAGTTCCATGGTAAGCTACAAGGCTCGTATTATGGATACCACATAGTTAATATACTACACATATATAACTTTAAATACATACATATTATTAATATTTACACCCATGAGTGGAGTGCAAACATTAGTGCTAATCACACAAATGAATGCCCCCAGCGGGACTCGAACCCGAGACCGCTGCCACAGCAAGTAGGGTCACTTCAAACTGAGCCAAACGTGTCGTCTAGATACTTTCGTATTATTAACACTAGCAACATTCCCCAACTTCATTAGGCATTTTACTGTACTAGTAAATCTCAATTTATATACAACACGCATTACCTATCGTAATATATCACTAACAGATAACATCTGTACAAATAATGAATGCATATGATACAAATAAAGAGGGTAAAGCATCACAAATGTTTTCTTTATAATATGGCAAAGATAATTCTTATTTTTTGCTCATAAAAATATTAAAAAGTAGTTAATAATTAATTTGATACAAATAAATTGACATATAAGTACATTACATACATAGAATAGTACAGAAGTTACGTTTATTTAATTGAATTGAATTTTAGCACTGTTTTTTTATGGTATTTTCATCTATTTAATTCTTATTATCTATACTAATATTATAAAGAGGTGAAGTTTGTAAGTTTGTGAATTTATGACGTTGTAGGGGATAAAATCCAGATCTACTGAACTGATTTAAATGAAATTTGGTAAGATCATAGTTTGAGACCCTGGGAAGGACATAGGGCATTATCCCGGAAATCATCCCTTAAGAGGGTAAAAATGGGGATGAAAGTTTGTATCGGGAAACAAGCTAGGGACCAACCAAAGGGAGAGTGAGTCGCTAGTATGTTATATATTTACTCACGTAATACTTTTCTAAATTTCTTTTAAGAGAGTATTTGACATTTTATATAAAATAACCATTTTGGATTTTTTCGCGGATTTATTTTGGTTTCTGTTTCCCGACGTTACGAACATTACAGCAATATCAAGGGAGAAGCTAAGGTTTTATATATCTCGAAAGCTATTATATAGTTGTTCCAGAGTATATTCTCAAAATCTATATAATAATTTGGAAAAAATGGAAAAATCACCGAACTGTACTGTGTTATATTTAATAATTTTAATTTTAACAAGTTACCTATATACAGTTGAATATTAAATATTATTTAATCAGAAAAATTCATAAAGGCAGCTTATATAAAATGTACTCACCTGTAAATGAATACTGAAAGTATAGCCAGTATGACCACGACGGAACTTAACACGATACTCAGAATGGCGTAGACAGGTAAGGCTGGAACAAAAATATTTATTAATGATATCGAATTTACGTTTTTATTAAAATAGATACACAAACTTCACAAATCTATATATAAATAGGCATAGACTAAAAAGTTCAGTACTTTTTGCTCCTCTATTTGTCAAGCAATTTTTTTTTAATTTTACTGTTATCAATAAAAAAAATTTAGAAACAATTTTTGTATATATAGATAGATAGGTAATTTTTATATTATATTTACCTCAAATTTTCAATAAAAATTATGGTCGAACTACGACCAGTAGGCGAACACTAGCTACATCAAATATACTTGGTTCACCCTTGAGGGTGTTTTTATTACGCTTAGTATACATTTCTTAGATATGAGATATTTTCCCGCAGTAAATGTATCCTATATGTTGACTCAGATAACCAGCTATCATCATACCAACTTTCATCAAAACATGTCTAGTGGTTTTCTCGTGATGCGGTCGGTCACAGACAGGCAGACCGACAAAAATTCTAAAAATATTAGTTCGGGCTCTGTATCGTTAATAATGACTATTAAAATAAGATTTTACAAAAAATTCGACTCAGTTAGAATTTTATTATATGTATAGAAATATTTAGCAAATAGCATTAGACTACATACTCGTATATGTAAAACAGAAAATATTACACTTAACGTGCAATTGAGTGAAATCCGTTTTTTGAAGTTAATCAACTAATCCTCCTAAGACAATGCTCTTGTATCTTTTCTGCTTTTCTATCTCGTTCATTCAAATGTTCAAGTTTAAATTTAAGATAGTTAAATCGTAAATGTTATCATGGCGCCGTTAAATCTATATATTATGATAATTTATTTTACTATGTTAATACGGTTTATATTATCATTGTATCTAGCAAAGTAAAAAACTGAATATGTATACTAATGTAGGTAGATTTTTTATCTAGTTTAATAAACATATTAAATTGAAATTAGTGTATGAAATCTGAGTAATATAATCTAAATCTTATTAAATGAACAATTCTTGTATATTTTATTTCGTAAATCTCGTAAACGGCTCTAACGATTCGGATCAAATTTTGTATTTAGATAAGGTTTTTCTTTTTAAATTTATCTATAACCCCTTTATATATATTTTCTTTTTTTGAAAAAAAAAATACGGATTTTTTCGCAAACAAAAGAAAAAACATCTTTTATACGCTGAACGATCTATACAGATAAATAAAATTGAAGCGTCTGTTTGTAATATCAAAATAATAATCTTCTTCTTTTCCCTGCCCATTTCCCGATCACTTGGGGTCGACGCAGTACATCTTCTGTACTGCTGGAAGGATTTGGCAAAAGTTTTACGACCAGCCGCCTCACGCCTGCCTGACGTCAACCCTCCTTGGGAATGCTATTGTCTCTCTTTGTCTGACTGGTGTCGCGGAAGTCTTGTAATTATTATGCACTTTTGATTTAATATCAAAATAATAATAATATATAAAAATTCGTCATTTTTAAACTACACAGTCAGAGCCGCGGGCATAATGTGACTCAATTGAGCGATAAAAGTAGTATGTTAATAGAGAAGCTCTTTAATTATGGTCGGTTGTTTTCTTAAACCCAAAATACTTTGAAATAATAAATACTTTTTGCTGAATTTTATAATATGTATTACACTTGGTGACGAGGGTCTAAGATAAATCGTAAAAAGAAGCGGATATGTAGGTTTTTATTGTGCCGTATTTATTTTGAGTGAGGATTAATATATTTTTCGACATACATAAAGCCACCCTGCCTACGATTCGAAAACCAGCGAAAAGTAACGTGAAGAAAGAAAATTATATTTTTATATTTATTTCAAAGTGTAAATCAGATTTCCAAAAGATTGGTTTAAGCAAATATGTAAAAAATATATAGTAATATATAGATAAAAATGAAGAATTCACTCCTAAATAATCAAATATATTTTTTATCTTATTATAAATCATCGCTATTTGCAAAAATACAGCAAAATATTATTTTGAAAATTTTATGGTAACAATTATATGTAATTTCAGTGTCATTCCTATTCAGAAGAAACTCAAATAAAAGCTTCATCAATAAGATTTACGTTATTTGTTCCAACTCGCAAAGAATTTCTTAACAACTTTTAGAAGCATACCTCGAGATCCGAGATAATTGTTTTCAGCCGCAAAAAATATACGCCTAAAATAGTAGACATAGAATACCACATAAAATAAAATGTCTGGCCGTTGTGTAATGTTAGATTAAATAAACACTATTGAATATGCTATTACAAAAAAATCTTTTTTTTACTCATAAGACTGATAATAATTATTATTTTTAACTTGAGAAGAGGAAAATATCTATTATTTTTATATATGGCAAAGACAAAACTTTTTTTTTAATTGTTATTGACGAGTTTTAGTGTTATCAATAAAAAAAAATAGACACAATTTTTTTTGTTATGTTGTGACTTGTGAGGCCCACCTGAATGATCGACGTACGATAGGCAACGCCAGAATTGTACGGGATAGTTTATAAGTTATTAGTATAGTATGCATCCCTAAACCATCGATTTTATTGCAATTAAACTTTGTTGAGTTATTGCGTATACACCCACGAAGTTTTCTGTATAGTTTTATCAATATACGAGTATGTAGATTGGATACAATACGTATACCTATTACCTAATCAGTCATTTATATATAAAAACTTTATGTGTAAATATGACATTTTCTTTTAATATTACCCTATTCTAGAAACCTATACGTTGTAGTCAAATCAGAAAATACTCTATTTTTAGAACAATTTTTTTAATAAACAATACGGTCTTGATAGTTTTTTAAAGCCGAGAGAGGAAGAATTAAATAAAAAATTATTTATATATTTATAGTTATTACTTATTACCTTCATATTTTCATATTACATAGATTCATAATAAAATATTTCTTTCGTATATTATTGACATTGCCATATAATAAGACCAGCACTCTTTAATGTGCTCTGTGTGCACACTTCCTTAGGTAAAGAACGTGATGCGTCGGCAGTAAGAAAGATTAGTTATTCGAAAGGCGCTCGCATCTTTAATTTACGCCTGAAAGATGTCGAGTTTTTTATTACTCGGCTCCATGATTCAAACTAACCTAGTAAAATGTATTTTTTAATGAGACTGGCATGTCCTAAAAGGATATTCTGTTCTATTTCTCACTTCCATAGGTTGGCTAGAAGAGATCTCTTCGAGATATAAGTCCGCCTTTGCCCACATTGGTCTCTGTATTATCTGTGTTACTCTGTTAATATGCAATAAATAATATAAAAGTCCCTAAATAAAAATAGGGTAAGATGGAGACAATTATATGTTTTATATATATTATATACAGTACATATTTATCTACTTGCTTATGCACCTGCAATTTAGCATGTTTTTTTACTTACTTTATATAAAAGACTTAGACTTTTAAATTTATAATTTTTAAATACAAGTAGTACCAATAATTTAACGTAAGGATTGTACAATTTAATATAGTCGATATCTTCTTCGTTGCATATACTCCACAATATTTTTTTTATGTTGGGACATTAACACATCACGTCTAGTTTCATGGTAAGCTACGAGGCTTGTGTTATGGATATCAGATAGTTAATACACTACACATCCATACCAATATCCATACTTAATATTATAAATGTGAAAGTGTGTTTGTTTGCTTGTTCTTTTTTCACGTCGAAGCCGAGTGACGGATTGGCGTGATTTTTCGCGTGGATATAGTTGGAGAGCTAGAGAGTGACATAGGCTACTTTTTACCGCGGGAGATTATCTCATGCCCAAGTATATATATCAGTATCCAGTATACTCGTTATAATACAACCCAAAAAAATATTTACGATCAAAATTACTTGAAACTTGGTATTAAAGCTCTTCAATACAATTTAAAATAAAACTATTTTTTCGGATTACTTTGCGGATTTATTTTGATTTTTGGTTCCCGACGTTTCGAATGCTTTACAGCAATCATGTTCACGGGAGACACACGGGAGAGACTAAGGTTGTAGAGATCTTAAAGGCGATAAATTATATAGTCGTCGAACCTCAAGCTATTGATTTTTCGTTTTTTTTTTTACTTTTTACATAAAAATCGCATACAAAACAAATCATTTCTCCTTCTTAGTTGAATGAGAAAAAAAATTAAGGTAACCCAAATAAGCATGTTTCAACAATTTGTAGTAACCCTCATAAACATAAGTACTACGTAATGAGCACTTCAGTAAAGGGACAAGCCGTCCGAGTCTCGGTCACGTTCGAGGGCGGTAGAGCGAAATGTGTAAAATACGTAAATTCTCAGAATATACCTACAAAGAAGTTAAAGTATTTCTATATATTGGTGGCTATATGTATGTATTTACATGTTTACTTTAGTTCTAAACAGACCTTTTATCGTAGCTAAGTATTTTGTTATAATAGACATCTGTTAAGAACAATATTGTAACTTAGTATTGGAGAAATTTTGAATTTGAAATTATAGTATATGAGAAATTTAATTTACATTTTTAAATTATCTTAATACTGAGTTACAACGTTATTCGTGGCATGTGGCGATTCATACTAATAAACTCGGTAGTTTCAGCCTCGCTCCGCTGAGGTTCGTCTCTAGAACGTTTTAAGGTTTAGTATAGATTTCTCAAAGATGAGATATTTTTTTCCCACAGTAAAAACTATACTCTATATTTACTCGGATAATGTACCAAATTTCATCAAAATCTGTCCAGTGGTTTTCTCGTGATGTGATCCAGGCAGACGAGAGACAGACAAAAAATCTAAAAACTATAGATTCGGCCTCTGTAATATTGACTATTTCAATAAGGTTTTCCAAAAAATATTTAATATACAGATCCGTAAAGTAAAAAAACAAATTATAATGATTCACAATGCACATGTTACATAAAATATATGTTGTTATGTTACATAAAATATCCAACCGAATTGTTTATCTGCTAGAATATAATATTTAATACATATTTATCAATATCTTTTGAACAATAA